TACATATTTATGTTTTTAACTACAAGCATTTAGGACCAAATGATTTTGATAAAAAGAAAAGAAAAATTCAAGAGTGAATTATCGAAAAATTAAAATGCTAACAATTGAAAGATTTGTTGTATCACACAAGCAGCAAAAAATGTGACAGAAATGAAATTTTTAGTATGTAAACAGTGGTTGCCATGGGTGACAATGATTGCCATGAGTGACAGTGGTTGCCATGAGTGACAGTCTATGGGTATTTTGTAAGCCATGCAATGATATTGGTGTAGTGGCATCACACGTGAATATGAATACAACCTTCCAAGATGGTAATTATTAGTTGGAAAAATTCTACCCTTCAAATTACCATCCTGAATCCCTTTTCCGCCACTGTTCACAAAATTTGTTTTTTTCTTCATAATTTGATGAATATCAATCAGAAATACATCATATTGTATTGATTGGTTCCAAAATTATCTTTGAATGTGAACAAAATTATTAAAAATATAAAAGTTTATTGAAATTGTAAAGGAGAAGGGGTCGAAGGTCATCAGTACCAGATATAAAGGCATGCCTTATACCCACCACCATGTACTCATTAAAACTAGAACACTGAGGCTCTTTTTCTAAGATCTCTCGAAGTGTTGGGTAGGAAAACCAAAGTTTAGAAGTAGGTGGTAACAAAATCTGAAAATAGTGAAAGAGAAAAAAAATATTCATATCAATTTACTGACAGAATTGTTATTTGATAAAAGAATAAATTCTCACCAAAAGTGATTCTTTAAATTTTGAAAAGTGACTGGTAAGTTCTAGTAATCTCAATAATGACATGTATGAAATACCAGGATCTATTATTGGTGGTGGAATCAAAACCTGTAATGCGAATAAATTATGCAAATGAGTTAACACATTGGCCCATCTATCCCTGGGTTTGCAATCTATAACAAGGATGAAAAAACACCTTGTTTTGACTATGGCACTTATTTTTTTTTATCATTTTGGAGCAATATTCACAGATCCTAGAAGCAAAATAGAGACAAATTACTTGGGCAAGTTTTTATTTTTGCACATTTGAAGCAGCATCTTGAAATTCCAAGATAAATAAAATTGAATAAAAATTGAGTACTGGTACATAATATTTGGCTAACTTTGCACTCATGACTGCTTAAATTTCCCACTATTCCCAACTAACAGCAGAAATTGGATTGAATATATAGTCATAAAACCAAACCCTTTGAACATCTGGATATCCCGACACTAACTTGGTTGAAATGGAAATTTGAATTAATATTACATTCCCTGAGATCGAGATGTTCGACTACTGATTGGCCAAATGTATTGATATTAATTATTCAGGTTCCTGACCACATTCTGTTGCTAAGCAACACACATTTTGGGTGAGAGCTAATAGACCGATCATACTCAACCAAAAACGTGTATACCAACCACATCTATCATATGGATGATTCCATTTGTTGCAGGAATGTCTTGTACCAGTATACTCGCACCATCTACAACTACTTCCTACAAAACAAACAGGGCGACAACAAAATTATTCAAGACAAAGTTACAAATATGACAGTTATGTTAGGTTATATTTATTACAATATCCCTCAGGTTTGTTCCCTCAATTCTATTCAAAACTATTCAAGGGTGATATAAAAGTTAAAAAATATTTTTGTACACACTTTTGCACATTTTTAGATATTTGTATAATTCGTTTGTTATTTTAGACCAAATAATCATAAATTATAATATGGCTACTGGTCTTAATGAAAATTTTGAACAAATTTGAAGAAAAAATTACGAGTTTTTGTAAAAGGTAACAAAAGTTGATTTTGGAAAGTTCAAAGGTGAATATACAACTTACATCATTCTCTAGAGTTATCATAAGATCTGCACCACCTAATAAAGAAGTAACAGGTCCTTCTCTGTCTTTCAGAGCTTCATAACTCCATGTACCATTTAATATATGGTACCTAAAATGAAAAATAAAATTTATCAAAATTGAGTCAAATCTTATTATAAATCTTATAAAACATCCATGTGACATTCCACTCAGTATATGATGAGGTACATTGCTAGTAATATGCCATTACCCATTCAAATTTATGTAAATGTCAAACACTATGGGATGCTACATGTATATGCTGTATTGGGCAATATCAAATACTTCTTGTTTTTCTAGGCAGTTTGAAAGCAGCATACAGAGAATCCCCATAATTTACAGTAGCACTGTTCCCAATAATAATTACACGCATTGTTTCTTGGCATTAGTGAAATGAGGAAGAGGGAAGCTTCTTGAGTACAGCTACTTACTGGATGCAGTATGGAGAGTTTTCTTCATTTATCCACTGACTGTGCACTTCTTCAGACAAACTGGTGAATGCTGAATTCATTGGTGCAAATAATGTTACATTTAGCGCAGGATTTGCTAAATAGCTATCCATTTTAGCTAACTGAAAAATGGAAATATAATTAGAAGAACAAGAACTCATCAGACAAATAATTCTAGTTCATCAATAATAACAAGATGTCATTCACCAGTTACAAGCTAGTATGATGCAATTACAAAAATACTTTCCAAAATATCTATATTAAAATATGTTATTACCTGACACAAGTTCATCAGTAAGGTTAAATCAGGAGTTGCTGCAAGCTCCTGAAGGTACAAGTAAAATAAAATACTGTTATTCTCACCGCAATATTGCTTTGGACACTAAAACAGCTACAAGTAAGTTGTTGACTGGTTTGCTATAAGGGTCTCAGGAACATTATGTGAATAGAACTAGTTGGGTTAAACCAAACTCAATAGAGGACATGAAACTAATATCGAGATACGTGTTGAATATCAGTAGAATATGTCATTAATTTCCTCCAATCATAAATCTTGCTGTATAACAAATGACAAAGTTATCTTATGGCAAAATGTATATACTGACGTCTCAAATATCAAGATACAGTTGCCAGAGAGCATCTTGTGTTGGCATTCAACTAAATGACACACCTTTGTAATAATGTTTTAATCTAACCAGCGATACACAAAGCAAACCAGTCAGTATTAAAGTAAGAGTTTGTGTGTCTGAATCAATATGTCGGCAATAGTGAATATAGCTGGAAGCAGGGATCAATGATTTGCCAGACAGTACGTTGGTTGCCTTGAAATTACACCTTGAAAATAAATGTTCAGGTTCATCATGTGTGTCATATTTGTTGTTGTTGTTCTTGAGACAGAATCAAAATCAAAATCAAAGTCGAAAATTCTCATGACAATTTCATTTTATTTTGTTCTGGGCCACATGAATTCAGAAGCAGCATGGTGATTTGTGGACAGATGCAATACTATCTGAGATAATTAAAAGCTCAAGTCAGTCAACTCAGTGAATTAGTTTATTCCTGAATTTCCAATTTGTGTATTTAGATCTTTCAGAGACAAAATTTCAACACATGGCAACTTATAATCATAATTGTGGAATAAATCCTTGCTGTAATATTCATAATCACATATAGCCAATTTGGGACAATGTAACGTTTTATAAACTGACAACAAAATGTAACCAGAACATGATAGGTGATGTTCACAACAGTGAAACTTGAACTGAACTCCATTAATTATTTGGGCTTAATAGAATCCAAGTACAGATCTTTAACTAGGAATATAGGAACACAAATTTTGAAACTATACCATTGTTATACTGCCATAACAGAATCTTCCATCTCCCACAAAGCCATCGTTACAAGTGCAGTTATTAGTATTCGCTCCAACTGGAATACACGTAGCCTACAAATTCAAACAGATTATTGTTTGATTATTCTATTATTCTTTTATACTTGGTGCAGAGATAAAACCAGATTTCAATAACTTACATGTGAGTGACAGTCACCATTGTTGATTTGACAGGAGTCGATAGGAATACACTGGAGACCATTCCCTTCAAATCCATCTCGGCATTCACAAATATTCTAAATATAAAAGTAACAAAAAATTGTATGAGAAATAGACAATGAAGGTGTCAAATTGAGAAGTTTGGATCATGCTTGGGATGATGGGTAATGAGTTTTTACATACTATTAATTTTTTAATCACATTATTGTAGATTTTGAAAAACATACCCGTATAACTTTAATATGCTACATTGTCCTATGTTCAAATCAATCGAGGGGTGTATAAATCTGTACCTTAGGAGGGAGACTCCTGGATAAGCACATCATCATGATGTAGCTATGGCAACAGACGGCCATGTTGTCATTCAGAATCTCTATTGTACATTACCTGTCCAGGGTTAGTGTATATGCAAGAAGCATATGGATCACATCCTCCATAGAATGGTAATAAGCAGTTATCAACGGGTACACAGACATAACCATCACCTGTCCAGTTGACTTCACATTCACAAAGGTTCCTTCCAGCACTTATATACGTACACTTTGCCTGAAACAACAAAGTGTTCACAATGTACATGACATTCAACACAATTATTATATATTTTGAATAAAGGGGACAAATTCAGAGAAATAACTTGAAAATTATTAAAACATTGACTCTTTGATAATTGATCAGAAATGGTGTGTTTCTGAATCCGACCACAAACAGCGTGGTTTCGTCTTTTTCAAACAACATACCATATTTGTTCTATTATTAGCGCATATGCTGATAAAATTACATGGTTTACCAGTGCTCAAAAGAAGTCATATTTTAATGATCCAGTATAGGATATCATATTTGTTGCATGCATTTACATAAACAATGTTTACTTGTTGTTTTGAATAAAGTTATTATTATAACTAACCTCACTGTGGCATCCCCCTCTGTTAGGCTGCATACATGGGTTAATAGGAATACAATCCATTCCATTACCTTCATAACCAGCATTACAGATACATTGTATGACATTATTTGCATTATCACACTGTGCATGGGCGTGGCAGTTATCTAAGTCAGGTCCACATGGGTTAATATGCGTATCACAGTTATCTCCAGTAAAACCAAGCTTACAGGTATCTGGTTTACATTTACCATTACCACTGGGACCATTTTCACATTCTCCATGAATGCATGAACACACTGAAAAAAACAAAACAAAAACTATTTATCATTATAATTAATTCTTTTTGACAAAAAACAAACCTGCACAATTTTAATCAAGATTGCTGTAAGAAAATTAAATGGCAGTATAAAGTACTAGGCATGATTGAACATTAAACCTTGTTTTATAAAAGGCATAAATGCATAATAATGCAAAGAAGAGCATGGTACACGTAAACAATGGTACGAGCATTGGATGAAAAATTGCAGGTCACATGTTCTATATGGCGAACACCTATTGGTCAGCTCGAGTCTTGCCATACCCCGTCTATTATTATGAAAAGCGGGGGTGAAAGCGTCCTACATTCGAACGTTTTCAAAAAACGCGCGGCCATGTCTTGTATGTGCTAGACGTACGGCAAGATGCAAAACCAATACATGTACGAGCTCGAGTCAAAACATGTCACCACTGACGGTAATGCTCATAGTACTGTTTTATCATTTCTAGAATGATACTAATAACTTATTTTATCCAGGAAGAAAAATATTCATGTATTATCTCTAGTATTGTATTAACCCAGGCACTTTTGCCTATCGCCCTTGATCTATGCACCAAGTTTCATCAAAAACCGATGTATGGTTCTTGAGATATCAGTGGAACAGATGGACACACACACACACACACACACACACATACAGACAGGGTAACTGCAATGACTCCCATTGTGTGCTTTGCACACGGGAGTCAACATGAAAGTGGAATAAAATCTTATTTCTTAACTGTATTTACATCTGTTTTCAAATTTAAGAATGATCAGATAACAAATAGTTTGAGTTTCTGTAGCCACAAGAAGGAAACACTTTTAGGTGAAATCTCATCAATATTTTGATAAATAAACAAGCAAATCGTACCAAAAATTAACTTGGGCAAGATTTTATAATCTTTAATAGGATATACAAGTTTAAACATAGTGTAATCTGGTGACCTTGCCCTTTGTTATGTATAATAATTCTTTTATCATAGTTTGTTTCAATATGAATATGCATTGTCATAATTAATGTTGAGTACAAATAAGTTTAAGGATTGAAACAGCAGTGGGAAAGCAGTCTATTGCATGTCCTTGATTGATGTAAATATTTACAAAAACTATAAATATTATATTTACAAATTTATTTAAAGCGCGGTAGTCGTGTTGATAAACATTCATTTTCCCACAATCCAATGCACTCTTCAAATGGAAATCACAAGTATGAGGTTTGACCTGGGCGTGACTTGCACTGATTATCGCCGGTGACTCCTTCAGTACCTTCCAATAACATGAAAATTACTCAATTAAAGCTTGGAAACGTCCCATGTACTCGTTCGTCTAGGCAACAGTCAAAGTCGCCATCTTTGTTTATATGAGACCCGCGACAACTACCGCGCTTTAATTATTTTAAAAGACATAACTTAAATAACTATCATGTTGCAAGCTCTGCTTTGTATGCAAATAAACGTCAGCCTTGAAGTATGTACCATGTATCTAAAAATAGTTTGTGTCCAGTGGAAAGAGAAGTCAACAGTAATGTTGCCTTGTGAGAATTTACATCTTCAAAAACTGCAATCTTTGAAGTATGTACTATAAAAGCTCTATAATTCGGTTCTAATGGCTGAAACAAATTCCTGTGAATTTTGATTTTCAAAATTTATATACTTCAACAAACTGTTGCCTCTTATTTTTTGTTGTTGATAACTTTGGACGTAGTTTTTTATTGGCTTCAGATCTTGATCAAAAGTTTGGCACCCAATACATAGGTTTGCTTATATTGATTATCTGACATCTTGTTTTCTGTTAAGGTATTTTTGCAAATGTGTATGAGACAGTGCTCTCAATGAGTTGGCATTGAAACCCAGTCTAATATTCCCATGGCATTTGCCATTCCCATGGCATACATTACTGATGATATTATTGTAATTTAACTCAAGATCCTATAAAGGATACAATGTCACTAAAGTTTATTATTATTATTATTATTATTAATTACAAGATAAATGATTTACTTCATTGAACACATACAACAATGCATATTCCCACTGGGACCAGTGACCTTTGAATGTGTATCACCAGTGAACAGTCAAGTAGAAACAGTCAAAATGTTTTATCAGATTTTGACTTACTACTTTCTCAATTTTTGCATGATATTTTCACACAGGACATCTGTACTAAGAGGAGATTTCATACTGATGAATTGGGTGACCAAGTTTTCATAAAGTTTGAAATAGAATTAATAAAGTTATTGTGCACACATTAACAATTATTAACAATGACGACATCATATACCTTTTCCATCATCTTTGATGATACGGGCAACAATGTAAACATGATCAGATGAAAATTACATGAGTTATTGTAAC